AGAGTTGCGAAAAAGGTATGAATAAATTTTAGATGATAACATTACTGCTTCGTGTTGTTTAGCAAATTTTTTACTGAAATTTTCAAAAAATTCCCTCCTTTTTAAGTAAACAATAAAATGATTGTACAGCCATCATTACAATTGAATAAAATGTCAATGTAATTGGAATTTTGAAATTTTAAATCTTCAAAATTTTTTCAAAGCTTTTTTATACCATAATAAATTTAAAAATTTCGTCTCCTAAATTATTCCGTTAAAAATATTTTAAACCCGAAAACGATAAAAAAGTAGGAGGAAGGAGAAAGGGGAAAAAATTTTTATTGATATCAATAGGGGAAATAGGAATGATAGTTTAAAAGTTGCTGATAAATGAAAGTTATAAATATAAGAACTGATAGCATTAATCACGCTAAAATGAATTTAGTAATAAAAAATTTAATAGAAAATAATTCAAATTTGATAATTAAATATTTCACAAAGGAAAATAATAAAAATAAGAAACTTTTCTTGCAATCTACAGTTTTTATATATTTAGATCTATTTGTTTTTCACGGCGTTCTTTAATGTATGATAGCTGCATGGGTTGTTTATGTTTGTATGTAAACAAACTGACATTTTGAAATAAAAAAAAAGAAGTTTTTTCCTTTTATCACACGTTATGACTAAGAAATAAACGAAGGAAATGGAAATTAGAATTTAAAATTCATGTTGTGCAAAAAAAATTTCTCTTTTTGCAGATATTTTACTACCTTTGTTATATTGTAGAATTAATAGGCATAATATTATTAAATAACTATTAAGCATAATTAATATATCATTCTCTCTCAATTTAATTCGATAATATGCTTCTCAAATTTTATTAAAATTTTATTAAAATTTTTTTCAAAAATGCAGTTTTCACAAAGAATTTGAATCAATGAACTGTTAAGCTTACTGAACGGATTTTTTTTATTGGAATTCTGAAAGAACTACTTTTTGCAGAAGAATTAAAAATAAAAATTGTTTATCATAAAGATTGCGATTTTTTATTATAAAATTTGGCAAACAAACCGTGCGGAAATTATATTTCTTTCACTTTTATTTTAGAAAAGTATTTCCAAAATTCCGTGAAACATTACTATTTTGCACATTTGCACATGCATTGACCAAACAGAAACACGGTTTCAGCTTTTCGGAGCACATTTTATGCTGTTTTCATTTGGACAATACCGCTTGTATCAACGATCACTACGCTGTCAGATGTTAAATTTAATTCACTAATTGATTGATTCAGCGACTTTGCATCCACCACCAATTCCTCGTCCGGTTTCCGATCATCACTTTTCTCCGCACTTTTTTCAACCTCACGTCGAATATAATATCCATAGACCTAACCAATGATTAATAATTTAAATAATTTCTTTTCATTTGTTCTGTAATTTTTGTGGAATAAATAAATTGTAATAATTCAAAGTATTTACCAGAGAAGTAAAAAGGAAAAAAAATAGTGTATGAGAAATTTAAAAAAGTTTAAATGAAATTTTATTTTATGTTATTATTATTTATGATATATGTATACTTTATAGGCCAAAATGATAATATCTTCTTTCAAGGAAAATTTGTTTGTGTAAATTTTAAAAATTTTGTTTTTTAATAGAACAAACAATACTTAAAATGCAATTCAAATTTGCAAATTATAATCGGAATCTGAAAGAGCAACTGAAAATAATTCAAATGTTGTCATTTTTTTAGTTAATCCATCGAGAATTTAACAAATTTATAGGACTGACATATAAAATTCAGTACGTCAACAACAAATATGCACAGTGACGATAGCACTTGCAATTCTTTTATTTTTTTAAAACTATTTTTATACAAGTTAGGGAAGAATTTTGCAAATGATAAATTTTCAAAAATTACTTTATCAAGCGGTAAAATTTTCAGTGCTCGACGCATTTCACGTACAAAATCTGCAACATTCCCCTCTCGATCAAAAATAACTGTCGTCTGATTGCTTTCATCTGGACCTTGAAGTTCGCATTTCACTTCCATCCGCCGAGAACTAGCCGTAAAATTTGGCGATATTTCGGATTTCTAATATATCATAATTAATTTATCAGCAAAAAAGAAATAAGAATTTATGTGAAAATATGAATATTTGCTCAATTTTATGATATTTTTAAAATTTTTAACACGGAAAACTTTTTCTAATTTTAAACTATAAAATATTTTTTTAAAAAAAGCAATGAGCTAACCGAAACTGAGTCATCTTTAATAAGAAAATAGCCTTGATTTTCAAGCGCAAAATGTTGAAAATATTTGGCTCGCTGAGGGAAAAATGCTTTCAGCGCAATAACCGAATCAACTGCATACGGTTGACGACATAAAGCATTTGGACATATTGGTGGTGAATCTTGAAAATTTCATTTCTTCTCATTTTCATTTTAATTCATGCATATTTAAAACTTTCAATTGATTACTTGAAAGATTAATTGACTAATTAATTGATGAAATATGTATTACCATTAATTTCACAGTCAGCAAGCATTTTATCTAAGCAATCGATGCAAATTTCATGTTCACATTCATTATTCGATGGGAAACCGTTTAAAGCGCGACCTTCGCAACCATCCAATCCCATACATTGGGCTATCTTATTGGAAGAATGGAAAGGAAGTAAATTAAATTTTAAGATAAAATGAGGAAAAATGATTGGAATGTTCGAATGGGCGGCGATTCAATCATTTAAATTCAACAATTCTAACGAATGATGAAATTTTATTTAATTAAATGAAAAATTTTGATTATAAATTTAAAAATTTGCCTCCGTAGTCAATTTAGTTTTAAATCGATTGCTACTGAGAAATATTGGCATACTGTCATACATTTAGATTCATATAAATAATCGATTCACTGATTTTAATTAATTCTATTAGTAAATCTGTTCCAATTAAAGAACAAACTGTACAGAAATCAATGAAAGATCTATTCAAGCGACTACCACATACAATTAATTATATCATTGAGTAAATTTATGTATTGCAACTATTCGATGCACATAGAAAAGCACTAAGCAAATTAATTGAACTCAATAATAGATCGGAAATAATCACAAAAACATAAAATTTGCTAATAAATAATCGTTCATGCTATTTATTCGTTTACAGGTGTTTATTCGAATAATCACATTTAATACACAAAAAAAAAAACTAAGGATCTTTACCTTTTTTGTACCTTATTTACTTGAACTTTAAAATTTACATTTCTATTAAAGAGAAGGAAAAGAGTAAAACAAAAAATGCAAAATTTTAAAATCGTCTCGAAGAGCGTCCAACCTATCACGACAACGTGTGCCACTAAAAACTTCTGTTATTATTCATCTAATTTCCTTCTTATTCATCTAATTTCCTTCTTTTTTCTTTTCCTTATGTTTTTTTACTTTTGAGAATTTCCCGAATTTTAAAAACATTTACTTTTCTTTTTTTTAAAATATGTATTAGCTTATTTTTAGTCCAATCAACCAAACATTCTAATCAATGATGTTATCCATATGACTTTATGTCAGATTGCTTAGATTTTCTTTTTGACTTAAAATGTTAGAATTTAAATACCGCGTTATTTTTATTTATTAACTATTGCTTGAAGTTCTACTTTTTGCGGTCATTAACTTGTTAATTGCATGATCAATTAATTAATCAGCATTTAGTGTGGTAAATCATTTATGATATGAACAAAAGTTCCATTCTCATTAATTGATTAAGATATGCAATAATGAATAATATGCTACTGATTGATTGGTTGGTTGAGCAGTTTCTGCTATTTTAAGCATCAAATATCACCAAGAAGCTTATACACAGTGATATAAAAGCTGAATGTATGAATAAATTAAAAGAGGAACCTGAATTGTGCGAAGTTTGTTTTTACCGTTTCGAGGACCTTTTTGAAGGCATTCACCTTCCGGACATATCACATTTGCATAATTTTCTTCCGCTAAACAAAATTAGTCACATTTAATTTGCACAATATTTTATTCAAATAAATGTTGGATTAGTTTGCTAATATGAAAACGTTCTTTCTCTCTCTCTTTTTTAGACTCACATAAAATTTACAAATTATTGAATTGTTGCAGGTAATTGAAGAAACAAATTGGGATACATTTAAAGGAAATAATTAAATAAATCATATAAAATAGAATATTTTGATNNNTTTTGATAAGAAAGAGGAAGCAAATTTGAGAGAGAAATACAAATGTTCAACCTAATCTTGACATAATTAGTTGTTTGGAAAAAAGAACCATTTGAGTTGAGGCATGATTTTTTAGCAGCACACTGAAGACAGTATCGTGCCTCGCAACATTTGGTGACAATATATTTGACATCCAACAATGTTTTCTTGCAACCATCACATCCTTCACCAATATC